ACTCGATGGCACCTGACAACACAACAACAAATGAATGTTGTGATTTTAGTAGTTTGGCTCAGTCAAGTCACAGTTAGATTGATTTAAAAAAAAAACGTTGCTTTTTCAAGAACAAAGGGTGGCTTAATTTTTCATAAAAGCTTTTCCTTCTTTTCTTCCTCTGCAAATTTCCTTTTCCTATTCTCAGCTATCACCTAATGCTTGATATCTCATTAATGTTTATTTGCAGGTTGACCACTCTGGTAAGCTCCAACCTCTGATGAGGCTTTATACTCTTATAAAGATTTGCAGTTGGAACTGTCTTTCCGATATACAACCACCACCACCACCACTGGATATCTTCAAATGGATGCCCCATAGCCATTTCAAACCTACCAGATCTTCAAAGGAACTCCATTATCTTTCACACCAAGCATCCTCTTTTCACTCAGAAGCTTGTTACTCAAAATTACTGTTTTTACACACAACCCATGGCTAAAACATTTCTAAGTCCTGGAACACAATTAATGCTTGGAAGCAATTGTTTAGTCTTCATCTCCACTAGGATGTCCTTGGTCAGGTTCTCATTGTTGACTGTCTTAGGCTAATGCAATAGAACAGAGTGGGGAATGATCAAGGTTCCAGGTATTTATGGGAAGAACTAGCACTCTGATGCTCAATAAATCCACATGCTTGAAGTGTAAACTGGCCTCTTACTTTCTAAATTTGCTTGGAGAAAATACTTGAGCTCTTTGATATTCAGCTGTTTTAGTGCTTTCCATTAAAAAAACAAAACAAAACAAAAAAACTTTGACTTAACATATCAAGTCTCTCTGTTGTTTAAAAGTCTTCAAATGCTCTTGATTGTCTAAAGTCTATTGGAATTTAAGACCCTTAACAAGCTGCATCTCAGTCTCAAAGGTTCTCGATTCAATGTCTACCATCTCTTGAAGATGTACCATTGGAGTGCACTAGGCACTTTCATATCTCTGGGTCTAATTTCTTCTCTTTTTTTCACCCCTCTAAATTACTCTTTGCCTGCTTTTCTTTATAACAAGTTAAAAAGTTTCATTATTATTTATGCTTTGAAGCCTTTCCTGATAACACCCTTTTCTTAAGTAGATTTAATTGCTTCCTGTTCTAACAATTGTTAATGGTTTGTTCACACAGGTAGTTCTCATAAGCAATTTTATGCATTTTTATGTTACTCCCAGCATGGCACTCTTCTAAGGCTTTTAAATGCATAAACTTATGCATATTCTATACAGCAGTACACTTATTAATCACATTTTCAAGTTGAAGAAACTGAAGCAAAGAATGGTTAAGAGAACTTAAGGTCAAGTAGTTCAGTGGTGGTGTAGTCAGAATATGAACACAGGCAGTCTGGCTACGTAATTGTTCATTTGCTTCTTATTGACTCACAATAATTATAATTAATATTATTAAATTTTAATTGCTACTATTATTATTTGGAGTCCTGGTGTGGCACTGTAGGGCATAACAATGGACTGATAACTACAAGGTCATCAGTTCAAACTCACTGACCACTTCTTGGAAGCCCAATGTCATTATGACTGGGAACTGACTCAATGACACTTATCAATAACAACAATGGTCAATGACAGTAAATGCTTATTACTGCTTTGAATTGAACTAGATTAATTTGAAAAATGATCAGATTTAATTGTCTGCACGAATGAAGTTGTTTTTCCTACAAATTGCAAAACATAATGTTGCTTAGAAAGCTAAAGTTTGGATATTGTGCTTTGGCCTCTTCCACAATTTATTTTTTCATTCCTGGTATGGCTCTGTAGGATCAGCAGTGACTGCAAAGCACAGCTCAGCAGTTCAAACCCACCAGCTGCTCCTCAGAAACCCTATTTAGGGTCATTATGAATTGGAACTGACTCGATGGCACATAACAACAACAACAGATTGAAAACATTCTAGCAAAAGACATGACATCATTGTGCCAAATTAATAAGTTTATTCCTCTCTTTTTCATGACACAAAATTAGACTTCCTCCAGTTTTCTTTAGTGAAAGATGTAGGCAAGAGTGAGCATCATTGGAAGGACTGCCACATGCCACAGTCACATCCTAGACATTAAAGAAAAACTCCAGTCCCATGTTGTATATGTAGAAGTTTGGCAGTAACAAAGGTGCAAGTCCCTTAAGGATTGTGTAACTTGATAACTGTTTGCAAGTGATATCCATTGTGAAAGTGCTTTCAAAAGGACAATTATCCATAACGCTGTACAATCAACTTACATTACTTGTTATTAAGTGCCGTCAAGTCGATTCCAGCCTGTAGTGACCCTGTATAGGGTTTCCAAGGAGCCACTAGTGAGCTTGAATTGCCAACCTTGCAGTTCAAATGGGTATGTAGTCTGGCACATTAACCCACAGAGCCACACCAGGAGAGCGATTATTCATTTCGAAACTTGCTGTTTTATCTTTTACTGACTTCACCTCTGCCCCATCGTTCCTGCTTTTTACTATTATGTTGCTCATTAGTATGTCTGATGGAAGAAGAGAGAATGATGAATTCTAATCATTCCATTTTCTTCCTTTATCTGAAGACTGAATGGGGAAAGGTTAAATTATGGGAAGACATAATGGTTTGGGATTAAAAGGCCACATTTTATACATAAATTCTTATTCTTCATTATTAACAATGACTAAAAGTTCTTTTAAATTTTAAGAAGCACGTATTTATTGAATACCTAGTATGTGCTTTATCTTGTACTTTAAATTCTTAATAGAGATCCAATAAAAAATAGTGATTTATGCATACTGCTAAATTAATGTACATTTCCAACAATTACCTCATGAGATTTTTAAAAAATTGGATCTCTATTAACAATTTAAAGTACATGATAGAACTTATCCTCAAGTTCAGCAGTTCGAAACTATGGGAAGTTCCGCAGGAGAAAGATGAGACTTTCTGCTCTTGTAAAGATTAACAGCCTCAGAAACCCTGTGTAGGGTTGCTATGGGTCGGAACTGACTCGATGGCACTTAACAACAACAACAACAATAAATAGTGATGGTGATAGTTGTGTGCCACCGTGATGGTTCTAACTCATAGGGAAAATGATGAAGCTTTGTGCTCCCATAAAGATTTACAAGGCTGGAATCAACTTGACAGCACTTAACTATAACAACAACAAATCGTTATGGGAGCAGAAAGCCTCATCTTTCTCCCATGAACGTGGGTATATTCAAACTACTGACTGTGGTTAGCAAACCAGTTTGTAATCCACTATACTATCAGGACTCTTTGTTGTTGTTAAGTGCTGTCCAGTCGGTTTCAACTGATAGAGACCCTGTATAGGGTTTCCAAGGAGTAGCTGGTGGGTTAAAATGGCTGACCATTAGGTTCAAACCAACACTGCGGTCTGGTGCATTATCCTGCAGTGCCACAATATGCTTGAGTAAATAGGAGCTTTGCTTAATTTCTCATTGCCTAAAAATATGCAGACTTCTTGCCTTAACATCTAGTCTTACTCTATCTGATTTCTGCCTTACAATTCAATTTCAGGTCCCCAAATCTTTCCCTATAGCCTCCTGTGGCCATTCTAGTCTATCTCTGAACATGTCATACCCATCTTCTCCAGGACCTTAGCATCCGAACAGATGTACCCGCTGCTCCTCATCTCTGTTCTATGTTTGAGATCTAAGCAAGGCAGCAACAACTCAAAGAACGCCTTGGGATCTGCCTGGTGCCTGGATTCCCTCTCTACTACCACCTCTTACAATACTTGTTTATCTCTACTGCCAGATACTTCACCTTTGACTTCTTGTAGGTTTCTTTTGTGAAGCTGGTTTCCTGCAGGTGATGATTCATGACAATGTCAATACCCATGATTACTGTGCTGATGGTGCCTTCACCTTCGGTGCCTTCAGCGGAGGCGTTTCCACCAATGAGCGAGTCATGGACGTTACCCTCTGTCCTGCTGACCTTCTGCTCCTCCACTTCTGGGCACAGCCCGTCGTGATTTCGCGGATCTGGTAAATGTCGGAGAACATCTCTTCATGGTTGATGAGGTCCAGGTATATGATCATGATGGCGGCTGGGAGACTACAGCAGCGGCGTTAGCTTAGCAGGAGCCAGAGCAGTGCTCCGGCCGAGTGGAGAGTGGACGGAAAAGTATTTCACTATAGTTTTAATGAACTGTATCTTATTGGCTCCTTACAACAATCCTATGTAAAACCTTAAGTAACATGTTGCTGTTAAGGACCATTGAGTCGGTTTCAACCCACAGCGGCCCTACATAGGGTTTCTGAGAAGCAGCTGGTGAACTTGAATCTCTGACCTTGTGGTTCACGCTGACTTTGCAGTCTAGCATATTAAGCCACAGTGTCATATCAGGATTTACAGCCAGTAAATTAATGAAGAAATGACATGATCAACGCCGTATTTTGGAAAATTTATTGTTAATCCAGTAAAGATTAGCATGGGCAGCACATTTATTAACATTAGGGTTACCTAGGTCATAACAATATTTCAGAAAAATTCGATTTGTTAATAAAAATGTTTTTTTCTCAAGTTAATTTTATTGTTTTCTTAAAATCTATTTTCTTATGTTATCTATGAGTTCTTTTTATCTTTTTCTGCTGGCTTTCAGGTTTTGATAATATTATAGTTATTGTGGATAATTTCCCAGATTTCATCAACATTTTCACTAATTTAGAATGACTCAATTTATGGAGAATGATTTGTAAAATGATTCCTTCAGTAACACCTCCAAATCTGATCATACATAGCTATAATTAGATTTTCTTTACATAGTTGTTATAGTTACTGATTTTTTTAGTTGATGCTATTCACTTCTTTAGGTTGAGACATAACTGTAGAGGGAAAATGTGGCTATAATGTGCAGACTTTAGTGTGATTTTAGTTACATCCATTTAAAAAATGTCTACTGAAATAACATTTTTCTTTCTTGTAACTTAATGATTTATGACACCATTATTTTCTTGGATAGGCAGAGTAGAATATTTTCAGTTTATCTAATACATGTCTAATAAAAATCTATTCATATCTCTGTTGATGGGCACAGTCAAAACATGAAATACTTCTAAGTGTCATCAGTACCTCTTCTTTTGATACAGATCCTGAAGGAAAAAAAATGGACTCAAACAGCAGGGGCTATGTTCTCTTTCTTATTTTTTTTGAAGTTTACCAAGTTATTTTTATTGCTATCCTTAACATTTTCTTAAAAAGTTAAATGTTTCGTTATCATGGTTTCCATGAAAACATTTTGCTCTGAAGGCCTTTTACATGGTGACAATTACATTTAAAATCTCTCAACTTTCTCCATTTTGTTTAGAAAGTATTTCTTCCCAGTGTATTTTTGCTTACAAAATAAATAAAAAAAAAATTGTTTTTAACCAATTATACAATTACACATTCCTCAATTGGAGGAATTGCTTTTGTGGTAATTATCTTGATCAGTATTTTGTTTAAAAACAATAAAACTAGATGTATTTCAGTTTGCTTGGGGTTGTTCAATGAGTTGACATTTATGTTACCTAGTATATAATATTTTCACCTTCTCAATGCCATTCTCTTCATCTCTTCCAGGTGTTTCCTGCCAATGTGGAAAGATTTTATTAGATAAGACAATGCTTTCCCTTTTCACTCCTTTCTCTGCCTTTACTTGACTTAGTTGATTCATGTTATTTTATCAGAACACTAGCCTCATAGTTTCTTGACCTTCTACAATGAAAAGTTCTTAAAACTTCATGGAATTTCAGAATTACCTCTCAATATCTGAAACATTATCGCCTAGAACTGTTTAGCTTCCATGATCTCATGTATTTTACTCCAAACTTTTTTTTTTCTTTTTATTTCCACCAGGAAACCAGGTCTTTGATTTCCCTTGACCATCATTGCTTCACTGCCTTATTTCTCTCCCAGTATTTCAGTCTTTTATAGATTTCATCTGTCTCTCTATTAAGCCAAGACCCATCTAGTCAACTACTCATGTTCTGTCACTCTTTTTACCTCTGGATATGCCAGTTTTATCAATCCTTGATCCTGGATACACTCAAACATCTGGTTTGCACACTCCTACTGTCTGGTTTAAAATCACACCATGGTAAATTCTTTCTAGTGCAAGCCCCACATTTTTAAACTACAGAGAAGAGTATCACAAAAGTTAAGGAGACTTGAAAATGTATGCTTTGTTTTGTTTTCAGGGAGGGATGAATAAATAGTTCAGTTTGGTGGGCCTCTTGGGGGATGAAAGAAAGTGTGGTTGGACTTGGGTCACATAAACTTTTAAAATGTCATGCCAAGTAGTTTAAACTCATCCTATAAGTAATTGGGATCAGCACAAAAATATAGGTGAGTGACTTACTTGTATATTCTTCAAGGTACATTTTTAGAGACAAAATGTTGGCAGCAGGTTAGATGAGAAGGGCCATGTGAATAATTTAAAGCCATCAGATTTTTTAGTAGACTAGTGGTTATGAATTGGGCTGCGAACCACAAAGTCAGCAGTTCGAAACTACCAGCTGCTCCGCGGGAGAAAGATGAGGCGATCTGCTCCCGTAAAGATTTACAGCCTCGGAAACCCTGTTCAGGGTCGCTATGGGTCGAAACCGACTCGATGGCACTCAATAACAACAACAACATGGAGTATGTAGACTATGAAGACAGAATGCTCATTTGAAGCTGGGATGGCAAGACTTCGTCTCTCATACTTTGGACAGATTATCAGGAGGCATCAGTCCTTAGAGAAGGACATCATGCTCGGTAAAGTGGAGGGTCAGAACAAAATAAGGGGACTCTCAATGAGATGGATTGGTACTGTAGCAGCAACAATGGGCTCAATCATAACAATTATTATGAAGATGGAACAATACCAGGCAGTGTTTTGTTCTGTTGTACACAGAGTTTCTATAAGTCAGAACTGACTCCATGGCATCTAGCAAAACAACATGGGGATTCTGAACTGGATAGGTGGAATGAGGATGAAGAACTGATTCCCCTTCAATACTGTTCATCAGAGTACTAGTCTCTTCTGAAATGTTCATAATGATCTGTTTTGTTATAGGAGATCTTTAGAAAAAAATCTGGGATTTTTTTATCTAGAAGACATGTTAATTCATTTTACTCATGAGAAACAAATGGATTTGCCAAACTGACTTTTTTCCCTAAGCAAAGCTTTTGTGTGTCTTTCCAAGAGTGAAATTACCATACACACAGCAGCAAGGAGAATGTTATATGTACTGTTTGAAAAGTTTCTTCGACAAGCAATTCTTTGTATTAAAATCATGCCTGTTGTTGCTAAGTGTTACAGAGTCAGTTTTGACTCATAGTGATGCTGTATAGGGTTTCCAAGGAGAAATTGATGGGTTTGAAATGCCAACCTTATGGTTAGCAGTCCAGTGTTTATCCTCCAACCTATTTGCTATTAAGATCTGTCAGAAAACAAAAACGTTCCTTCCCTTTAGTAAGTTAAATGAAGTCAGACAATTGAACTTGCCTGAAATGATTTAAGATGACATCATTTTAGATAATTGTCATCAAGATCACACAGTTTCTTACAAGGGAGGTAATAACAGTATTTGAAAATCCTTTCTTTTTTTAAAGAAACCTGGTCTTAGATAGAGCCTGGCTGGGAGTTATTGATCAATCTCTCTGTGTTGACTTATGACCCAGTGAGCTAGGTTTGTTGAAGGAACTCACAATTTTGAAGAAAGATGGAAGCAGCTAGAATAAAGTCTAATTATTGCTTGGTATTGCTTTGGGATAGTAAATTCTTTAGATTATCCAAAAATTTCTTTTGAGATTTCTTTTGTTAACTTGAAATTTCCAACTCACTGTAAAAATAAATTCTGAAGTATGTTGTGCTGAAGAGAAGAGAGAATCAGAATTGGCAGACACTGTAACATTTCTTCCAGCCAAGAATGCTTCTGTTGAGAAAGAATAATAACCAATCAAAATTATATTCTGACTCAACATGTTCCATGATACATATTCTTAATGTGTGTTTTTCTTTCATTTCAATGAAATGAGATTTTGGGAGAATTCATAAGTACATTTTTGTGTTCAATCAGAAAATCTGAAACAGAAATTTAATTATTAATCTTTGAGAAATAGTCTATAAATCAAATATTTACTATTTTAGCCAGCTCTCATTACATAAAATGTTATCTCTTGTTGTAGTTTCCTTTTTCTACTTTCTATTGAGATTTTTGTATACTTGCTCTGTTCTTCTTCATGTCAGCTTTTGAAGGACAGGGACTGAGTTTCTCTTTATCGATCAATGCAGCTTCTATACAGTATTTCTACCTTTTTCTCATTTAATAAGATAAGAGTACGTTTGTGTGAAATGTAGTTTTATTGTTAGCCCCAGTAGAAAAGCATCTATACCAGTATCTTAATTTGATTAACTGTCATGTTACAATGGTCAAGAAAACATTGACAAGGAATCTTAAATTTTATTTTATTCAATAATACTGTATTAAATTACAACTTTTTTTTGTTAGAGAGTTGAAATACAAAGGTGGGGAAAATGAAGTCCTAATTTTCTAGTAGGGGAGATGGGAATTGGGATTCCATTTAGGTTTTTCAAAAACAAACCAACTGTAAAAAATGGCACCAACTATCCTTCCCATAGCACGCTACTTGGCTGGGTTTGATAAGTCACTGCAATGGCCACACAGAGCTCAGACACCATACTCATGATTGGGGTTTAACTTAGGGAAGTTAACAGGTAACAATGCAGGGTCAGAAAATGTCAAGGGCACATTATTCTAGTCAGGACAGTTTCTAGTCAGCTATTCCCACAGGCAGAACTCTTTCTGTCCAGCAATGTTACAAAGTTCTTTTAGGGCTGCTGATAAATGCTGACAAGATACATCACTACACTACAAGCCTTAGCTTGAAAACACTCAACTCTAGTTTCATGGGTCAGCAAACTTAGCTTCCTTAATTAAGTGTCTAGCAGCACCCCACTCCATAAGCAAATCTCCTGCCCAAACTCACTCAGTTTTACAGGGATCTTTAGGTTCAAAGGATACACTCCTTTCCTGGGTCGTCTTCTTTGATG